ACCTCAGTGTCTCCAACTCGGTCACTCCAGCCGATGCGCATAATACGACGTAGACACTGCTGATGGAAGCGATCCAGATATCTGACATCCTTCCGATAAAGCGTCTAGGTTTCGCTATCGTATAGAAGAACGGACAGCACCATAGGCTTATATACCAGGAACTTCGTCCCAGCAGTGAGCTGGTGATTGTTCCATACACGGCATTCCAGCTTGCCAAAAGCAGCAGCCGCCTTCGATACGCTATCAGGTTGTTGTTACGCTACCAAGGTAGCATAATCTCGAAGTGGTTTCCAACACTTCGTCGGCAATCTGGATTTCGGGCAGGCCCACGGACTCCATTCCCATTGAAGGCTGGAAGAGACAGACAATTTTGCTTGTGTTGATGGTGGGCCCGAATTTGGACGCTGTCGAAGCTAGACCACTAGTCGTGTGCTACAACTCATCCGCGCTATGCGCAAACAACACACAGTCGTCAGCAAACAGCAACATACGGATAGTTGTCTCACAGACTAGGGTTCTTGCACCGAAACGACGGGTGTTCAGCAATCCACCATCAATACGGTGCTCCACATGAACACTAAGCACAAGCGGTGTCAAACGCACAAAACATCATGGTATGAAGATAGATGTTAAACGGGGCAGGAGCTAAGACACAGCCTTGCTTCACACCAGAGACAACTGCAAAGTCATCCGAGGTCTCTCCACTCAGCTGCACTCTCGCTCGCATACCACTGTGCAGACATTCAATTAAACTTACAAACTTACTCGGGCAATCAAACTTACCCAACACCACCCACAATGCTTCGCGGTTCACCGTACCAAATGCTTTGGCGAAATCAACAAAAGCGAGTACAATGGCTGGTGTCGTTCTCTGCACTTCTCATGCAACTGACGAGCCGCAAACACCATACCGATGGTGCTGCGACCCGAACGAAATCCACACTGCTCTTCCGCCACGTTAGGTTCCACAACCTGACTGACGAAGCGGTTGAGCAGCATTCGGGCAATCACCTTGCCCACACAACCCAACATGATAATTCGTGCAACATTGATTGCTTCCTTTGCCCTTGTACAGTGGTAGCACAAGGGCATCCTTCAGCTCAGGAGACACCTCCTCCTCAGTCCACATGCGTTGCACCAAGTGGTGCAGCGCACTCACGAACGTGGGCCCACCGTGTTTCACTACTCCAGGCGGGATCCCGTCGGCACCGACACACTTGCCGTTTCTTAGCTGAACAAGTGTTTTCTGCGTCTCATTCAGAGTCTCTGTGTCGGCAAGACACGTCCTCATCTCGTATTGTTGCAGCGCGTGCAACACAGTCCAGTCGATCTCTGAACGTTTGTTCAAGTGACAGTGAAAGTGTTTTCGCCGGATCTGCATTATGCCTGCAGTCTGTGTGCAGGTAGTGGCTTAGCTACCATCGATTAGCGTCCTCAGCGGCTCCAACCTCGGTCCATACACCACCTTCACGGAATCAAAGAATTCCTTGTGTTGGCGGTGTTCGGCATAGCATTTCATCTGCTTCGCATTCTCCGTCAACCATGCATTTTAAATGCGACGGACCTCTGGGCTCAGTGGCCATCGAATTTTGCGTGACTGACTCTTCTTCCCCAAGTCACTGGGGTCTGTTACATGCACAGCAAATACTGCATTCTTCTCCTTCACCAATCGTCGCGTTTTTGTCATCAAACCAATCGGGCGGATTACAGTTTGCGCGCCCGATGGTTTCTTCGGCAGCAGCTGTCATCTGGTCCCGATTGTGGTGCCACAAGTTGCCCACTGCGGCTATTCATTCCAAATCACACAGTCGTGCAGCCATCGCCTTCTCCAGCTCAGTACGTTTCTCCACAGTACCGAGGGAGAGAATGTTAAATTTACGGTGATTCACGGCGGGAGTGCAATGCATAGATTTACGAAGATATATGTACCGTTTGGTCCGCACTAATTTGTGATCAGTGTCACACTCAGTTCCACGCAATACACATGTCATGCGCACTGTGCATATCACGCTGACGTACGGTGACATAGTCGAGCAGCTGAGCGTGACCACTCCGTGGGTGCGTCCAAGTTGCTATATCACTTGCCCTCAGTGCAAATCGAGTGTTCGTAATCGTCAGGCTGTGAGTGGCACACAGTGAGAGCAGCCTGTCACCGTTCGCATTTGCTGAACCAATGCCATACGGACCGATGACATCTTTCCACACGATGCATCACGCCCAACGCGCGCGTTGAAAGCACCCAGCAGAAATGGTCGGTTACTCCTCGGCACAGACCGTATCACGGAGGATAGCTGAGTGTAGAATTGATCACACGTCATCAGGATAACACATGGTCGGACCGTACGTAATTATAAAAGTGGCAAACTTACCTCTTCCGAGTCGTAGGTGAACAGTCCTCAGTCGCGCGCTGATGCCAGTCGACTCATCCACCAGCTGACCACTTAGGCCATTGGATAATGCAAATCCGACCCAATGTTCACGTGGTGCTGATGTAGTGTTTCCACCCAGTAGAACGTATAGCCGGTACCAACTTCATGCAATTTACCTTGCTCAGCCAGCCGGATCTCACTGAGTGCCGCAGTATCGATGTTGTAGCGCACTAGTTCCATCGCGACCAGTGCAGTGCGTCGCTCGGGGCACTCACTCGAGTTCCGGTCCAGTAGTGTGCGCACGTTCCAGCACCCGATGCTGAGTGCTTTGCGCGCAGGCATACGATTGTATTGGTGGGCAATCGCGCGCGTGGTGGTAGTTGTGCTTCGAAGGTTTACTTGAAGGACTCCACCCGCAGCTTTTGGCTCAATAGTCTGACCCACGAAGCAGTGGGGAGCAGATCCAGCTCGGGAATGTGACCGCAGAGCACATTGGGATCTGCTTGAGGTCCGTCGCACGCAGTCTTTAGAGATCTGGAACAATTCATATATGTTTTGCGACCGTAATTGGATACGCATCTGCGACCACGGCCAGACGCAGGTGGGTTTTTGGTGGGTTTGCATCAATGTGGCCAGGGGCTGTCTGGCCTAAAGCGGGTAGTAGCAAACCATTGAGCACCCGGAGGTGCCCTCCCATTGTCAGAGACAATTCGTGGCGCTCGTGCTCTACGTCAATTGAGTGGTGAGTTTATAACCTGTAAACCTGTTTTCTCTCACGGCTTGGTTTTACGGGAAGATGACCATCGACCACTTCCTAACCGCCGAAGAGGATGGATTAGAATACTGGCAGGGCGCCCACACTTGACAGGAGAACAACTCCTGTTCTCAGCCAAAGCCTTCGATTAAAAGTACGGCCGAAAGGCAGCGGGTCTAGCACACGTTCAGTTCACTGACTCATGCGGATTGGTGTCCTGCCTCTTAGCTAGGACGAGAGCGTGACCCAACTACCCAGCGGTCGCCACGTGGAGGCGTCCTGGACATGAACCCATTGCACAACAGTAGCAGCAATGGGTAAACCATCTATCAGGATCTAGCCACCTCAAGCCTCAGTGTGTGTGTGTGTGTGTCGATATGATGGGCCAGGTTTCACAACGCCATAGTAGGTTTGATTGGTGACATTGATGTTACACTGGCGCAGCAATTGTCAGAGACTGCTACTTTACATTGAGCTTTTGCCATGCGGTTCGTGACTTCGCCTTCTATTCTTCCGGTGCACATGCAGCTACCAAGGAAGTTGGATTTCTGATCGACTAGCTGATACTCAACCAGGGTCAGCCCATAGGGTGGTCCCTGCCGATGTTGAAAGAAAGCTTTACATTTGGTGGTTGGAAGCATAGCCCAAAACGGTTTACCGCCAGTGATAATCTACCATCTGCTTTTTGTTACTTCTGAATTGTCATAGATTAGAACAATATCACCGGCATACTCCGTTAAAAAGTCTCATCTAGGAGCAGTCCTACCCCTTCTAAGTTGTGTCCAGTGAACGCATTTTCTATACCTTCGAAGTTAAAAAGGTGAAAACGATAGAGATATTGCGGGACAGTTAGTGGAAAAGAATGGCAAACTGGCGAATAAGGCTTGTGGAGGTTGCCACGACATTCCTTGCCCCCCTTGTCTTCTTTCTTTCGATGCATTAATACACAAGGCACGCAATGAAATGAGATTACCGTTGGAGTTGCACTCGGCTGCTTTGCTGCAATAGACTGACCAACATGTCAACCAGAAGCAGGTCTTAATCTGCAGTGTGGCTGCATAAACTGATTTGAGCTGGTATTCCGCAACCTCACTAACCTGAAGACACTTGAATCGTTTTTTCGATCGCATCATGTGACATGGCCGATGTCACAATCGATTACACTCGAAATTCGGCTGTTTACACTATATCGGCTAGAGATACATCACTCAAAGCAGATACAAACTAGTCATTCAATGACCGACACGCTCTCACAATTTCAGTAACAGACACTGGCGCTATCGCTGTGCACCAGTCATACTGGTATCTGTCTTTGATTCTGTAGGGCAAATGGCTAGTTGTCTCCCCCTGACGAAAGAATACCACGGTTGAGTTTGTGTGGGATCCCACCATTATCCTATGTTTAAATCCACTTGGAAGCTATTAGTCAACGGGACTCAATAGATCGCATACATGCAATTCGCCTCACCAGTTTGTGAGCTAGATTTTTCGTTCTTGACCCTGTAGCCTTGCTTCGCATTACTCCTTTCCTTTTGCTGTCCTATTACTCCATGACAGGAAGAAATTTTCCTTTCCTGTGTGCGCATTCATATCCCCTTCTCATTACATTGGACCAACTCAGCAAAGACTTGCTAATCGGTCCTCTAATTGCCTTTAAGCATTCCCCTTTAAGGGTAGGGACATCTGCGGTTTTCTCGTTTCGACTCCACCTGAATCTGACTAGCATTATGTGCCTTTGCAACCACTGGCCTTAACATAGTATTCATATAATCGGAGAAGTTACACGTTCACGTTCCGTTGATCATAATTTTTTTAACCTTTTTACCATCTGTCTCACTTTGACTCCATGATCATTACGTGCGAACTCTTCTTTTTCAGCTCACTCTCCTTTGTGCTATGTGTTCCTCCCTCAACACAGTTGGCGATGCTATTTCCGACGAATCATCATCTGTCGATGCGGATGAATTGATGCTTGGCTCGAAAGAATGGACTCTAAGGGAGAAGGCCGTTTCTCTTTCGGCTGAACGCGATGGATACTATGACGGTCGTCAGGGCAGGCTTCAATCTCGGTTTGAGACTGGTCTTAAGGACGGCTTTCAACTTGTTAGTCAGTTGGCCCTCGACAGAGGGCGTTTATCAATTCGCGCCGCACGTAATTTTGATTCAAAAGATGTTCTGCTGCATTTGATCGATCATCATAAACTTCTAGAGGATGAACTCGTCCAGTCACTTTTGCAGCTAGGTGACAGTTCTGATCCTGACGCATTGGCTAAGCTAGTGTCTAAAGCTAATGATGCCATCCATAACTGTCTCCCTACAGATGTTACTTCAAAGATAGCTCAAAGTTGACCATCTCGCAATCTTTCCCGGTCCCTGCGTTTTCCGCCCCTCAGCTGTTTCTCCTGTGACTTATCTCTGGGTCTCTTCGTCCGTCGTCAGCGGGACACGAGAATACAAAAGGCTCATTCTTCTGGCGGGATCTCGTTTTCACGCAGTTCCGAAATAACAAAAGTTTCGAATTTGCTACACAAGACCAATGTCCCTCCACCTATTGTCGTCCTGAGGCATTGAATCCGACAGCTATGCTGTGCAAATGAACCCACATTCGATAGCTCTCATTTCTCTCTAGATGGGGAGCTATAGAGGTTTTTACTTGGTGGCGCCTACTGCTCTTGTTACTTGTAAACTTTTAATAAACTAAATACTCTTGAGTATCTTTTCTGTTCATACTGGGAAATCTAGAGTGCATTGTGCAATTTATTTGATGTCTTATGCATCCAACTAAGTAAATTCAAATAATTCGTGCGACGCAGTTTTCCGCCTTCCGTTTGGTTACTCATCATCATCATTTGTGGTATTCTTAATGAATTGAATTAATACCGCACAGGTAACGAATATCCACGAATAGGAAAATACGAAAAGTTGGGGACAGGATCAGTTATTGAGGAGCATCTACTTGATAGAAATATACCAGGTAAAAGTCGGTTACGCACAGGAATTACATACACAGTATTTCCACATCTAGAGGCTCCTCAACCGATCGCAGGTACTCCTCGGTAGCAGTCACACATGCAGTCAGTCAGGATGGTAGGGACTCAATGAGTAATATAGCACAGGTTAACATAGTGAACCGGGTGTCGGACAACTGAGACTGTATAGCTATACAGTCACATGGGAACTTCACAATTAGACTACATAGATGAGTCATTTCAAGCTTGAGTACGCGCCCGAACTCGGTTGCTAATTCAGGCCACTACCACACTTCCTCCCCGTTCGAATTCGTGTTATACACTACATGCGCAAAAGTACTTCACCATAACGTGTTGCGACAATTTGCCTAACTCACCCTTCGATACACCACTTCGGATGATATTTTCTCAGTATCATCCAAGCCATCCATACCAGGTAGCCCATTGACTGGAGCTCAGTAGAACCCATTCATGATGCTCTCATTGGAGGTCGGGGAGGTGTATGGGAACTCAGGTGGAGTTACACATGAACCCTCACGCGGGCACGAGAATCGGGATGTGGTGATTTTAGAATCCATAGTAGATTTTGAGATACACTGTAAATGTATATACAACCACAAACGTTTGCAGCCAGTGGGATCAGGAGTGGTCTCTAAATCGAGAAGAACTGCCATGATGGTTTGTTTAAAAGATAGTGACCTACAAGCACCTATCGTAGAGTAAAATCGTCATCAGCACACCCTCTACTAGAGCTGAAACCAACCTGACTTTGTCTACTTAGTTTCTCACGAGGATCAGCGATTCTCCGCATCATGATGCACGTCAATAATTTGGGGCAATTGGGATCGGAGACGATGTTTCTCATAGGACTTCTTCGGACTTCTTGAAGATAGAAATAAGGATCGACAACCAACCAGATGTGATATATGTGGTACATCAATCATATCAATTGTTGCTGTGTTCCCTTGTTCCAGCGCTCTTAACCACTAACTCACTATAGTAAGATCGCTAGGTTCCGAATGGAATGCGCCCTACTAACAGTTACCGTAAGCATTAAGCAGCCATCCGATGTGTTTCAGAACATGTGAATAAAGCTTGTTTTAATGAATTCAATTTATCAGTTAATTGTTTACGTGGAAGCCCGTCACTCCACTGTACTTAGTTAATTATGAGCTTTTAATATATCGAGAGATGTAGCAGTAAAAACGTGCGAATAAGAGGTCTTTGTCGCTTACTAAGGTGAGCCCATCTCTGTGAATATGTAGCAGAAAATCATGTTTCCTAACTTCAAAATCCAGTAGTATACTAAAAGTAGGGAAAAACTATTTTTCTGTATCACAGATATGTGGCATTTTAATCATTGTGGCTTTACGAATGCTGCTATTCTTCCTCTATATCCCACGTCACACCTCAACTAGCGCCATAAGTAAATGTGTTTTCCAGAGGCGCAGAAAATTAAGCTGTTGCCATAAACTAACATCGTCGGCCAATTGGACTGATGCTTTGCTGCTGTACAACTACGGTGACCTAGAGAATAAACAATGAGAAGGGAGATACGGGTGACCAAGCGTAAAGCTGTAATGCTCTAAGGAAACACTCAGGGTCAAGGCGCCTACAGCTTATCAACAACGTACCGTCACAAACAGCTGACTGTCGTGCAGAGATAAGGCGGCATCGGTGAGACAGCTTCCTTGCGGCTTCCACTGCCACGCGTCATAATCAGCCATTACCCCACAGATAACTCAGCACCAAACACACTTTAAACAGGCAATCCGATTAGGAGACGGCAGCAGACGCGCCACTGGTGTCTACTGCGAGCCATGTCCTGTAAAGTCTCGAGCCAAGCACAGGGCGGGTCACGTGGACTCCATACCCGGAAGGCGAGACGGACCAACGGCACCTAGTTTGGTCGTCAGTGACTTCATTTCTCGCTGCCAAGTCAACTTCTGTCCACCTCGAGCCTTGCGCCACCCTATACCTGGCGGACTAAACAAGACCCTCCTAGGTAACCGGTGACCAGGCATGCGTAGCACGTGCCCGAGCCAACGCAACATATTCAGTGCTATCTGTCGTTTTAGGGAGCTAGCATGACTATCACTGCCTAGTACTCGCCTACGCACATCATCGTTGCGGACACGCTGGTGCCATCCGACACCAGCAATGCTTCGCAAACAACAATGATCAAAGACTTGAAGGCGCCTCAGATCTTCAGACCGAAGAGGCCAAATCTCACTCTCATAGAGCAAAACGACCCTCACTGTGGCCTTGTATACACGGTCTTTCAGACGGAAGGAAACTCCCTTCTGTCGCCAAAGATGACGCAGGTTCAAGAAGGCAGCTCTGGCCTTTGCAATGCATGAGCTCACGTCAGTTTCTATGCGCCCATCGTTGCTGATGCAGCTGCCAAGATAAGTGAATTGATCAACCACCTCGAGCTCCTCGTTAGCAGACGTCAGGGCGTCATCAAGTGGCTGGTAATCCTGCAGCAACAATTTGCACTTTGAAGGTTCGGAGCGCATACCAAATAATGGGACTACTCTAGACAGGCTATTCAGAGTTGATTGTGCCGCCTCAACATCGTTGAAAAGCAAGACGATATCGTCCGCATAATCTAGATCAACTAACCGTTCACCAGGCAGCACTTCAACACCTACAACATGAGATTCCGCAAGGGAACACTCCATGATAGAATCCACGACGAAATTGAACAAAAACGGGGAAATCGGCCAACCCTGACGAACGCCACTTGTGGTCGGAAAGCTATCCGATAGGTCACCGTAGACCCTGACGCGGCCTCTAGTGTTCGAGTATAGAGCACAAAGGATGTTCACATATTTCGTGGGAACCCCTTTCCGCGCAAGTATTTCAAACGGAATACATCGATCGACCGAATCGAACGCACTCTTGTATGGAAAGGATAACTATATCTGCGTGTTGTGAGAGGCCGATTTTCGTACGAAATATCCGACGGCAGAATTGGTGGCCGATTTCTTGTGATCCAAATTTGGGAATTAGATTAAAATTTGTTATCTTGTTTCGGTGGTGACCGACTAAATGCTGCTCTAGATAACTTCCGTTGTGGCAAAGTTAGGGGCATAGATCACAGTAAAAAAGCTGGACGAGTGGGGTTTGATGTTGACGGTGACGGAGGTATCGATGATTGAAAAGCAGTACCAAGGTTTCGTTCCGCTGTAGGATTTAAAGATAAAAGTGGGGATAAAACAACTATGGACTGGTTTGATTGACTGTATGATCCTACCGGTGACGAATGACAACGGTACCGCGCGTTTAATTTGGGGTTAGCTGAGGCTGCTCCATTCGATTCATTCGTTTGAATACCACCTGATCTGGATATTCGGAACAGGGACGTGGGGAAACAGGTGAATGCCTGGGCCGCGAGCCGGTCATAGGTTTCATCCCCCCTAATCTTACTATCGTTACTTTCGATGGTCATGGAAGCTATTATTTTCATGACCTAACGATCTACGTGAAAGAATTTACCTACCTTGCACCAGAACAACATGACTTCCAACGAAATCGATCGCTTACTACAAATCTACTGTTAGTACGATCCATTTGGACCGAAGTAGTAGACACTGTTGCAGTAGTTGATATAGTCTTTCTCGACTTCTAAAAGGACTTCGACCGATTAGACCACGGTAAACCACTCTCCAAACTTCAGATACTTGGTGTTGGTGATCCTCTTCTATGGTGACTCAAAAGCCTTCTCCTACACCGGCGTTTGGAGGTGAGGGTGCGCGAATCCCTATCAGATCCCATCCAAGTTGAATGCGGAGTACCCCAATGGTCAGTACTGGGGCCACGGCCAATTTTGATGCTTACCAACGAAATCACACGCGTCATAAGCTTGAACTGCGTGCGAATATTTGACTAATTGACTGGTGAGGAATTGCACGCATCCGATGTTACAAATAAGACTACCGTGTGCAGAAAAGAAGTCGTGTTACTGACTTTTAAGTCTAGCTAGCAATTGTGGTTGGGTCGACATTGTATAATCCCGTATATTGAACATCCTTTTGAAAAACCGATTTTGGCGGGATATGCAGAGACCGCCCCGAACGTTTGTCACGTAGGCACTTTGGGATGCGAAGTATCTGTTTGCTGCATAGTGGCAAGCATATCAGAGGGCTGTGAGGACAACTGCGGTCGTTGCAACGAATATGTTGCACCCACGTAAGCGAAGCATTTTGGGTCGTCTACCAATTGCATGTACGCTGGTGGCGCAGCGTTCACGAGAGCAGGAGTCGCTCAAGCAACATAGGTAGAGGTTACCGCAATTGCCTATGCGTTAGTCACCGGGAACTAACATGTATAACTGGAATGCAAGCAGCTGCAACTGAATGCAGTGTCTCAAGTATTATGGCGCTGTAGCACAAAGGGTACGGAGTTTATCTTAGGATGCACAGAATTTCCGTTGTCCTCTAACTCAGTGTGTGTCCGTGGTCTAACACACACCACCGCCACTACAGATACTGCTACCTTACGGTTTCCTTGCGCAGGCTTAGACGTAACCAGAGCACGTCGGATGCCGCGTCCGCATGGTTATCAGTTCACATGTTACTTCATCTGTGTAGCCAAATTCAGCCTTCACACTATGCCTCAATGCACTGCTTCAATTTCGCACAGCGACGTTCTTATCTGTGTCTACGGTACGCAGTCGCTGTCGCGTGTAAGGGCGGACGCTGATGACATTTGTTAACGTCAATTCAGATGCACATGTGGCTACCAGCCCTTTCACCACTCGGTCACTGCTTCAGCAGAACCGTGGATCAAGTGCATATCCGCGT